GGCCTGTTTGCCTGCGCTAGTGGCGGTTACAAAGGCACAGGGCGGAGGAGGGTGTGTGGTGTCCACGAGGGAGAGCGTCCGCTTGGCTGCACGTGCCGAGTGAGCGCAGGGTTCACAGCTGGCTCCGTGCCCAGCGTCCCCGCAGCGATCAGCTGAAAGTATCGCGACAATTAATGACGTTTGACGTTCAATGTGGTGTACATCCCCAAAAGTGTCGTCGCGTGTAGTAAGTCGTTGCAATTCATGTTTGCACGCATTAGATGACAAAAAAACTAAACGCGATCAAAGCAAGAACGTTACCAAATATATATGGCTGGGAAACGGCACTTGGGGACTGACGTATGCTGAGTTGTGAAGTGGGTAAAATAAGTTTATCGTCCTATTATTTCAGCGCCAACAGGGCCACGGTTTATTGATTGCCTCGTTGAGACGGCTGGGAAAGATTAGAAAGCATCTTATCAAAATGTTGTACCTAGTTGAGTTGTCACACGACATTTGGTAGAACGCATGGCACCTCATTTTTTATGTCACTGGCTCAGCTCCTTCCGAAATTATGTTCGAATAGTAAGCATATCGTCGCAGCATAACGGCAACAGACAAATACGTCAACAATTTGCCTCCCATCCATATCTCGACGATATCAGTCCATTATCATGCAAAGCGAAAAGACTTTAAACTTCAGGACCTCGGCATCCTTCGCCTTGAAAGGATCCAGAACCTGGTCTATTTCTGCCGCTAGGCGTCACCGGCAGGGTACAGTTACAGTGGTGGCGACAGATTCCCGCTGAACATGACGATGTGTGCTGACGCGGCTGCGAGCCGCGCCCTGACGCACCCCCCTCCGGGGCCGTGACGAGCCAGCCGTCACCGCCGCCTCTTGCCGCAGATGCGGGCCGGCCAGGAGACGGCGCTGCTGCGCGACCACGTGTGCAAGGAGATGGCGCCACTCATCGCGGCGCGCATCCGCCACGTGCCGACGGCGCCGGGCAGCGACTGGCGCGACCTGCCCAACTGGCAGTCCGCTCAGCGATGGCACCACTTCGCGCCTCCTGTGAGTGGTCGGGGCGCCGACCGGCGATGGGTGGTGTACCGAGGGGGAGGGGGGGCTGGAGGTGGTCAGGCGGTACTGCAGGGACAGAGCACGAGCCCGACCCGCCTGTGGTGAAAGCCTGAGCTGAGATGATAGGAAGATATGTTGCGTGGCCGACGCATGGTGACTCGTTCAAGCACGCTACTGCCATCTCGAACACGTTTGTTGGGCATCTTGACCGCGGTAGGTTTACAGGTTTAACGTGATTGGGGTAAAATTGTGAAATTTTGTGTTTCGGAAAACGCTCTACAAAACGTCAAGTTTCTAGTTTCTATAAAGGGTTTTGCATAAGTTTAGCTCTTTATACCGAGTGTTCAACGTGGAAGGGCGGAATCCGTCGCATGTGTGGTATGCCCATACGAAAAGCGTGGACCCGGCGGACACGCATCACCTCAAAATAAATTGTATCACCTCACCTCAAAATAATTATCAACGCCTTACGAAGCAGGCGCTTGAGTAGCCTCGTTGCCCCGTGCAGGTAAAGATGACCACAAACTATCTTGATTGTTTTGATATTTGAATGTTACATCAGCGTCCAGGACTACGTTAAATGGCATGTACCTCAAAGCAAAAGATTGATCCGGGTCATTTTAGCTTGGTGACCTCCCTTGACCTTCATGAATCCTACATAAGATTTTGCAGACGTATCTGTGACCAAAGAATTCAATAAACGACAAAAACTAAGCAATGAAGAACGTTTTCTAATAATAGAGCGGTTTGACCTCGACTTTGGTTTGACTTTCGTACCTGATCCAGGGCCAATGAAACAGTCGTAGTCCTTTATTCAGTTGTATCATTATGTAAGAAACCATCTTAAAGTTGCATGACTTCGGCTAGCAGTCTTTTACCAGAGTAACCACAATAACTTTTGGGCAGATCTGACTATTTCGTGGGGAGACCACATAAAATGGCACCAAAACAGAATTGGACCACAGCAGCACTTCAGATGCGATCACGTTCATGTTCCTAATCATGCTGTAGTTTCTCACAGATGGGCTTGGTTGCGTAGCCTACAAGCACACAAACAAATATCGTGGCTGAATGTGTCGGTGAAAACGGACGGTGACGGCAGGCAGCTTTTGACAGTCACCTAAACGATTGACAAATACACGGCATGGGAACAGCTCAGTCAGGGCGTCTATGCCGAAGGTGTGGGAGAATCCAGACAAAGCGCGCTGTCTAGCTCAGGCCAACAGGACTATGACGATGAGAAGGCCAGAGCAAACAAAAAGCTTAGAATACAGGTGGTTCATTGCAATCCACCACGCGTATGACAAGCCCGGCGTCCAATGGCCGAGGAACAATAAATGGGTGAAAAAGAATCGCTTAGCTCGTGCCCGATGCTGCATAAGAAGCTGGCGCAACGGAGTGAATGGCTATCCCCAGTGCCAGAAGGAAAAAAACTGTGGTAAAGCGGCCTCCCAACACTGGATGTCCACCATGTTATGTAGTCCCACTGACCAGCCACACAATAGTGGCAAGGCTCCAAAGATAAGAGGCCGTAGGTGTCTGAAGCGGACACCGAAGTGTAAAGTATGTCAGCAACACTCAGAACAGGTTTTTTCGCACCCGACCAGGGGCGGGAAACTTGACTTCCCGCTAAGGTTTTTCAAACACAGCTCAAAGATGAACACTAGCAGCAACACCAAATTTTCAGGGGCTCTTTATCTATCTATTTGGCATCCTCTATGCAATTTGAAATTCTAATCTGTTAGTGACCTAGGTCAGATCAAAGAGACCAATCTACAAAAACTTTCCCACACCTAACTTTTTTGCAGATTATTTGCCATTGCTCAAACTTACCATGGCAGTAGGTCATGATAGCACTTACAGTCTTTTAATGTCAGATTTTTCGAAACAGGCGAGCTTAGCGACTTGAGGTCAGGTCATTGTTGGCTATTTTTCGTAAATAACACAAATTGGCACGTATTTCTGCAAAGCTTTGGTTTTTGTATATGAGGAAAAGGCTACCTATTAACTTACATGCACAACCATCATATTCCTGCCGAGCATATGTGTTCGTTCCAGGTCATGACCTACCTTTGACGGTGCCTTCTACAAAACACATGCTGAACCCAAAAAGGGCAGCTTTGTGGGCAAATTTTGGTGTAGAATTCGAATACCCAACTGAAAACATGCAATGATATTATAATGATGTATAATGAGGTGACGTTAGAGCAGGTGAGGACTTGCAACGTCATATCAGGTCTTCCAAAGCCAATGATCTCTGTTATCAGTGATGAACGAGAGGGACGCGTGTAATCACCTCTATGCCGTCTTTGTGAAGCTGATAACACATAATTTCATGTACCAATGTGCCTGTTCTCAGTTTCCTACGCTAACAAACGTTGAAGGGGCTATGGATAATATGTATATACCACAGCTACGCGATCTTGAGTACCTGTAGATATTGAACACATCATTTCTGACCACAGAAAAAACCATATACTGGTTACTTAGACCCGGTTAACGCTTCAATTTTCGTGTTTGGATGGTTTATAAATGTGACCTAAGCTGACCTCAACTGACCTTTAGATCAGCCTGAGGCGACAACTCTGTGTGCACTGCTTTTGTCTCACAGATGCACCTAATAAAATAAATGTAGTCACAATCACATCGAGAGAGAAAACAAAAGATGGTCATCCTTGTGGCCTACTGGTAGACCATTTTTGAAATGTGACTTGGTCTGACCTGACCCTTGTGGTCAAACAGAAGTGATGGAATGGACTCCCCACGGCCTTACCGCTTACTTCTGTGCTCTCAACATTCACATTGACGTGTTAAAATACGTTTTGACTTTATCTATCAGAGTAATTTTTGGAACTTTCGCGATCTCTGGTTACCGCCAGCCGTCCACGTGTCTTTGGCGCAGGTTCAGAAGCAGAATATGAATCCATGTGTTGCTAGACAAACAGCCTTGCACCGTATCTGATCGCATTAGAAGTACACAACGCATACACGGAGGTTCCAATTAGATACAGCCGTTGACTGCAAATTGTGCGACTCGACTACCTGCCCCAGGCCGGAAAGACCGCGGCACTGTAGTGGATTCCGATGACGATGATTTGGGCTTATGGACACACCGACTACGATGGTCATGTGGGGTCTACTGTGCTGGACTCCGAACCACGCGAAAATCGCTGGATGTAATCTGATTGCCGTCGCCGCGAAACGTGCTACGCCACGCGCAAGGACGTTTCCAGTAGCAAAGTAGAGAAGATAGAATGATGAGGAAAAGACCACCGTCATTACGCTTCACGACAGCCGCACAGGCTGTCGTGAAGGGCACCTCACACCTCACCCCCGGTGCCCACACATCAACGCCACGGTAGTTGTGCGTATTCATCTGATGTGCAAACATTTTTTTCTTCAATGGTACCTGCGCGCCTGTCTTTTTACGTTCCAACGCCCGCCTGCCGAGGACTGGCACACCACGTGCTCTGCCACCGCACTGAGGCCCGGCGCCGCGCACGCCCGCCTGTTCAGATATCGGCATGCCACCTGGACCGCCGCCTCCCGGCGCCGCGCACGTCCGCCTGTTCAGATATCGGCGTGCCACCTGGACTGCCGCCGCACAGCGCCGCGCACGTCCGATCAGATATTCGCTTTGATAACGGGTCTGAGATTAATGCGAGTACGACGTGCTAATGTACAATGTTGTTTCAGAAAGCGACTTTACACAGCACACGGTTCGGGCGCACAGTATATACCGCGCCCTGCGAAACAGCGCGCTGTTGTTCGTTTACACGGTAGTTCTACTTTGGACCAAACAAATAATTCACCAAGGCTGGTGCATCCATCGCCCAAACAAGGACTAAGCCTTTTGATGCGTGCAACAACGCATGAACGCGAAAATATCACGGTCGGAAGCGAATGAACCACGACCTTCTACTCAGTCACATGCCTCAGTCTACTCCCACCTGAAAACATAAGATCCGGCTTCGTTAATACGAATCAAAACACAACCAAAAGTTGTAAAATATATTACATTGTGGGTGGCCTGGGACACACCGAGACAATAATAAAACCATGAACAATCACAAGGCAGTCCAAACATGTTTAGCAGCCGTCAATGAGCTCGAAGACGTCTACATTTCATCCGACCGACGACAGCTAAAAGCCCGGCATGACTTGATCGCGTCCTGCCGTCAGGGCGCCGCGCGCACTGCCATCAGCGCAAGCCTTCGGCGCCACTGTCAGAGCCGCCCCCGCCTGTTTCCGCCGCGTCCTCGGCGCCGGGGTCGCCCTCCTTCGCCGGTTCTCCCTTAGCGCCGCCCTGGCCGGCATCACTCGGCTGCCGCTGGCCACCGTCGGCGTCCCCGCCGACCCGCGCGGCCGGCGCTCCGCCCTCGCGGCCCGACAGCGCCAGCGAGCGCTGGATCTCGCGACCGATGGCGGCGGCCATCGGCGGCGGTACGGCGTTACCGATCTGTGGACACGACAGAGCGGCCCGGTGACGGCGCCATCGCCATCGCCCAGCCGCGAACGCCCGGTGACGCACCGCACGTCTCGCTGGGGCTAAATTCACGCGCGCAGTAGCTTCGTACTTCAGCTTGCATTACCGCGATTCAACGCATTCGACTGTCCAAATCCGGACGGTGCACCAGCTTCCCCCCCCCCTCCCCTCAGTCCAAGCGTCGCAAGGCCGCGGTTACCTGTCGGTGCTTCTCGAGCGTGCTGCCGAAGAACCGGTACGAGTCCGGGAAGCCTTGAGATCGGGCACACTCGCGCACGCTAACCACGCGGTGCTGCTCCGGATGCAGCACGCGACCCTGCCGGTTCAGGTTCAGGTCAGGTCAGGTCAGGTCGGGTTAGGCCAAGCCAGGCCAAGCCAAGTCTGGCGGGACTTTGGTCGACCACCAGTGAGCCAACAGCAGGCTTAACACGGCGCGCGGAGCGTTGGCATGTCAATGGCGTGCCGTTGCATTATTCACCGGCTCGACCACAAAGACGTCAAGCATTATTGGGATTATGCAGCCGACTGAACCAGTGAACAAATAGAACTTTACCGAGCGTAACGTAATCCGAGCTTGACGCATGACCGCATCAGGTGTGTTCAGTGTAACCCCCCTCCCCCGCGCGCGCGGTTGGTGCGCCAGCGCCGCGTCCGTGCCCGGCTGGATGCGCCAGCCGCGGCCAGCACATCGCCGAGCTGGGGCGCGTCCGCGGCTCCGCCGTCGGCCGCCGCCGCCGCCCCGCACCTGCTTGCCCATCGGCTCGGGGTTGGTGACGGTGGTGGAGAAGAAGCCGTCCCACTCGAGCCGCCCGTACAGGCCGGCCCAGTGGTTGTGCCTGTTGCCCGTGTGTGGCAGGCACCAGGGCAGCAGAGTGCCGTACTGCCGGTCGGCCGGGTCGCAAGGCCGGCCGGCCGCGCATGCGCACACGCCGCGCAGCCGGCCGCCGCCCGAGCGGCCGTTCTTCTTGTCGTGCTGTGTGTAGAGCCTGGCGGCGGGGCGTGGGCGATCAGCACGCCCCCGGCCGGCCACCCGTCACCGGAGCGGGGGGCGCCGCCGGCCGTCCCACCCCCGGCGCAGCGTCTGGTGCCGTCCAACATGACCGGAGGGGCCCGACGGCGCGCCGTAAAGCACGGATTACACGGCGCCGGCGACGTATCGGCGACACATCACGGCCTCCTGTCCCCGCGAGGACGCCGGAGACGACCTCGACAGCAGGCTCTGGACTGCAGCCACGCCGGCAGCGGCAGCGGCAGCAGGCAAGGGGAGGGGGCACTCAGGAGCACACGTCACCTCTGTCGAGACCGGCGCAGGCCGCTGCAAAGCTGTCAGCCCTGGATGGATCGCTAATCCACATAGCAACAGATTACAGGCCCTACCAGCTGTGCGGTCATATGGCCTGAAGGTCATTACAGCACCAATGCTGAAACCGGGAGTTTGTAGCCTAATGATGGATCCCCCCCCCCCCCCCCCCCGGAAAAATACAAGCTGTTGCAACGCCTTTTAACCAGCCCGAAGAATTAAGCCATCGTCAGAACCCAACACAGGGATACATGCAGGTCCGGTAGCTGCGTAGAGACATGCATGCTACAGTAACAACCTAGTAACCCCTAGAAACCCGAAATGAGAACAACTTTGAGGTGATGCGTGTGCGCCGGGTCCACGCTTTTCGTATGAGCATACCCCACATGCGACGGATTCCGCCCTTCCGCGATGAACGCTCGGTATAAAGAACTAAACTTATGCAAACCCCTTTTCAGAAACTAGAAACTTAACAACATTTTTGGGAGCGTTTTCCGAAACACAAGCCTTCACAATTTTATACCAACCACGATAAACCTGTAAACCTACCGCGGTCAAGATGTCCAACAGACGTGTTCGAGATGTCAGTAGCCTGCTTGAACGAGTCACCATGCGTCGGCCACGTAACCTACCCTCCTATCATCTCAGCTGAGGGTTTCACAACAGGCGGGTCGGGCTCGTGCTCTGGCCTGCCGGTACCCGCCTGACCACCTCCAGCCCCCCCCCCCCCCTCGGACACCACCCAGCGCCCGGTCGGCGCCCCCACCACTCACAGGAGGCGCGAGGTGGTGCCATCGCTGAGGCGGACTGCCAGGTTGGGCAGGTCGCGCCAGTCGCTGCCCGGCGCCGTCGGCACGTGGCGGATGCGCGCTGCGATGAGTGGCGCCATCTCCTTGCACACGTGGTCGCGCAGCAGCGCCGTCTCGTGGCCGGCCCGCATCTGCGGCAAGAGGCGGCGGTGACGGCTGGCTCGTCACGGCCCCGGAGGGGGGTGCGTCAGGGCGCGGTCCGAAGCCATCGCAGCAGGCGCCACAGCGTGTTCGGCGAGTGTGTCGCCCACGGCTCTGTGACTATATCCGACTGGGTACGTAGCAGAGATATGATCAGGTCCTGCTGAAGACCCTTTCAAGGCCAAGGATCTGAAATTAAGGTCCTTTCGCATTGCATGATGCCTAAAATAATCGAGATATGGATGGAAAGAAAATATTTTGATGGCTCTGTCTTTGCCGTTATGCTGTGACGATATGCTCATTATTCGAGCATGATTTCGGAAAGATCAGGCGAAACAAGACCGGAGTCCAGTAACATAATAATGTGTCATACGCTCTTCTAGGTGTCATATGATAGCTCAGTTGGGTGCAACAGCAAATCACCCGTCTCTGGGCATAGCTCAGTTCCCTTCTGGCGCTTCCCAGTCATGCATCTTCGTAAACATTCCTACTTCTGATCGCGTTTAGTATTTTTGGCCATCTTTAAACAATGTATGCAACGTAAATCGCGAAGATCCAACTAGACGTGACTTCAGTTTTGCGGGTGTAACGACGCATTGAACCCCAAACGTTATCAAGTGTCGTTTTACTTCGAGCTGATCACTGCGAAACTGTTGGCACAGAGCCAGCCTTGAACCCTGCCCGTCACTCGGCACGTGCAGCCAAGCGGACGCTCGCCCTCCTGGCGCCCCACCCTCCGCCTGCGCCTTTGTAACCGCCACTGGCGCAGGCAAACAGGCCACGAGCACCGCCCGGCACGCACCACTCTCTGGAAGTGCGAGCTGGCGTCGCGGTCGTACGGCATCTGTTCGTGCTTCTCGCCGTTCAGGATCTCTGGCAGGTCAGACATGGCGTCCCGCACAGTCACAGTCCGGTATGGCGCCGACTGCGACCACCGGCACGTGGGCGCGTACTGCAACACCGCGTCCTCAGGTCAGTCGGGGTGCGCGCTGCGCATGTCAAATGTCATCTGGGTGAGGGCACACTGAATACCGGCGCCACTGCAGACAGCCTACGACAGCCACCGACAAAGACAGCCTATGTGGTGGGTTTTATGACCAGCATCCCAAATCCTTAAATGATTGGTACTTAACAAGTTGTTCGACGTTCAAATCCGCAGGTTATCACACGTCATGCTGCACGTTGTCGTTTAAGAACGGTGGATCACGGGGCAGTGCCCGTCCGCCGTTGTCCGTGAGCCGTTTCGCCGTCCATACCTTGGTGTCCTCCATGACCACGGCCAGCGAGGAGGCCCTCAGCGAGAACACGTGCTGGGGCTCCGGGTACAGGGGCAGGCGGAAGCCGGGCGCCGAGGCCATGATGATCGCCCTACCGAGTAAGGCACCGTCAGACTCGTCAGTGACGTACGGTGGCGGGCCATAGCGCCGCCAGCAGAGCGGCGCATGCCACGCATAAGCCCCAGACGATACACAACTGCCATGCGATCCCAATGTTAACGCGGCGACCAGAAACTTCCCATCAATAGACGGGTGTGATCTGCGCAGATGACGGACTGCATGATGTCAGAGTGGTGCCGACCGAGGTCCCCGGCACGTGACCGACCTGCGGCGCGTCTGAGGGACGCCGTAGTTGCCCGCCTGCAGTACACCAAAGCCGCACTGATAGCCCATCTTCAGCAAACAGGCCAGCGTCAGCTTCAGCACCATGTTGGCCTTGTAGGAAACGAAGTTGCGCACGTTCTCCAGGATGAAATATTTTGGCCGGTAGAAGTCGCAAAAGCTCAAGAAGCTGACGATCAGTGAGTTCTGCGGAAAAGTGCTCCAGTAACAGAGAGCCCGGCAAGTTCCAATTGCTCAACAATCCTGTGGACCAGCTCTACAACGCAACCTATCTTGCAGTTGTCACCTCTTCCCTGTGCTTCAGCAACATGCAATTCAGCGTGATACGGAACAGCGAATAGAACAGCAGCGTAGTGAGGTGGAACAACAAACTAACAGTATGGTAGAAAGCTCACTCACGCCCCTCTGCCGAAAGTCGTGGGTTCAGGTTTAACATCAGTCCAGTGTTTCGTAGTCTGCATTACATGTCGACGTTAAGTGACGACCGCAATTCGTCATCCAATAACCCAGAAACTGTTCCAATGAAATGCAAGATAATTCAAGTCGCACAACAGTAAAACAAACTGAGGGAGCTTTTTCGGGGAGTGGCGCAGGATCGCGACGGTAAAGCAAGCCTTCGGACCACGCGTTGAAAAAGGCTGCGGATGTGGGAAACCGCAGAGATACACGAGGCCGTGTAGGGGGGTCACGATTTAAACACGGCACACACACCCTGGAACCGGCGCGCGTCACAGCGGGTACCTTGAACTGCGAGTACTGTCGGGAGTTGAAGCGGTTCATGCCGGAGAAGCCCTGGCACGGCGGCCCGCCGCACAGCAGGTCCACCTCCCCCGGCTTCGGCAGCCGCTGGCCGCTGGCGTTCTGCTCTGCACCCTGCAAACGTCACAGGAAAAGGGAATGTTGGGACACACTCAGTGACAGACTGAGTGAGTCTCTTGCGCACAGCAAGTGATTTAAACATTATGCCAACAGTGATATCCCAAGTGGATTCGTGCAATTTGTCCGTGCCATGTGAATCAGGAAAAAGACCTCGTACTCGGATACCGTTGGAACAGCCATGCAGCAGTGACATGTAAGTGAATCTTTTGCGATGGTGACCCTATACAAATATCCTGCCCCTGCGACATGCGAGCCCTCTGCAACAGCGACAAGTTGTGCGAGTCTATTGAAATAACGGTACGTCGTGCGACTTTTCCTGCGACGACGGCTCATCAAAGGGGACAGTGGCACATCATCACTTTTCTGCGGCGGCAGCGTCTCAGTCACAGCCTCAACATAAGGACAGAAGTTATAATGTGAAGTTACTAGGCTCCAAACACGCCTGCGAACTGATAATCAGACACACCACAGTCCTCTAGTACCAGAAGATTCTCTAAGATTAAATTTCATCACAAATTATCAGCTGCACCAATTTGTGCGAATTCCCATCAGCGGCCATGACGGCTGCCTGGTTGGGGATATCATGGCTATAGAGCCCAGGGCTACAGAGTCCTGTCCGGGAGGTGGCCGGCACCAGCTGGCGGACCGGCCCCGGCCTCACGTCTATGGCCAGCTGCAGCAGGTGGTTGCAGTCCTCCGAGAACACCGTGGCCTGCGGGTTGTTGAGCCGGTACGCGTTGGCCGCCGGCTGGTTTATTTCGATCGCCCATTGGCTGAAAACCGACAAAAGGGTCAGCCCGCATGGTGATCATCCCGCGTAGAGCGACGTGACAAACAGCGCTAGACATTACCGAAAGGCCCCTTTTCACCACACCCACAACATAATCTACTACACATAATCTTGGATTGTTATATTCAATACATAAACCCAACTGGTCACATATATATATATATATATATATATATATATATATATATATATATATATAAACGCGACAGAAACGTGACACAGACGCCCCTTCCTTCCCGACAGACAGTGACGCCTGCCAGGCCGCCCCCCAGCCCCGCCCTCACCTGACGGCCACGCCCACTTGGTGCAGTCCGGCGGAGAGGCCGCCGCAGCCGGCGAACACGTCGAGCGCGCGGAGCGGCGCCACGACCGGGTGTTCGGGCGGCGGCGGCACCGCCCGCTGCGCCGCCGCACCCTTGCCCTTGCCCTGGCCCTGCGGCACAGGCGGCAGTCAGCGGCCGGCGCGAGCGAGGTGCACCAGCACGCGATGGAGCTGGCGGAAAGGACCGCGTGCGACGAGTCAAGCGTGACAACACAGCCGATCGTGCGGCGGTACGGGTGTCAGGGGCACTGCCCGTCAGAGCCGTCGGCCGTGCTCAGACTGAGCAAAACAGACCCACAAGCACAGGACAAATACAGCAGAGAGCAGCAAATGGCTTCCCACATTTGACAGCCAGCGGGCACGACAGGGAGGGGATACGCCAAACCGTGCATGTTTATATGTAAAACAAATTTATAAGCCCATGTGTTCATCCTATGCTACACAGAGCCTCCAGGTGCAACTGCTTTTCTGGTACAGTCACTACGTACAGCCATCTCTAGGCATGATCAGTGCCGGTACAGCCAATCTCCAGGTACAGTCTCTCCCACATAAAGCCATGCCCTAGGACCGTCAACAAGCGCAGCCGTCCCTCTGTACACAGACAGCCTCCACCGCACCTTTCTGACGAGTCCCATGCGTTTGGCGGCCGGCGGCGGCTCGGTGAAGCTCTTGCCGTCAGCGTCGTACGCCTCGAGGAAGTAGAAGCGGTGAGGTCCACAGCGGCGGTACTCCTCCGGCGAGCAGGTCAGGTTGCCGCCGTACACCACGTGACACTTGCCCATCACGTGACCGAACGCCACCGACACCTCTGGCGGCGCGAGGCGGCCGGCGTCAGCGGGCGCCCGCCACGTGTCGTCGAGTTTACTCGAGAGGCACGCTTCCGAGGCTTGCAAACATTACGTAGAGCATCAGTCCCTTGTCTTTATCTAGACACGATCAATGCGCGGCGACAGAAGCGTCACACAACCCACACGGTATCTTCAGGTAGTGGCGCACGCTCTACACCGAGGGCCCAAGCACATCCGGACATCCACACTGCCATTGGTGCTGCACGGCGCCACGGCAGGCCGCTCACCCTCGCTACTGTAGTAGATCATGTGCAGGTCGCTGTGCTGCGAGCCCTCCGTGCCCCGGAATGTGTCCTCTCCTCGGTAGAACTTGGTCACGCGGAGGAAAACGTCACCCGCCTCCGCGTTGCTCCCTGCGGCGCAGACGCCCTCGGTAACGTTTGGCCAGAGCCATACCAGATAACGCCGTGCTGCTATTGATCGTAGCCGTTGATTGGGCTGCCGTGTAAGTTTACTAACTGGCAAATCATTTACAAAAGGCGACTCCTCACCGACATTAGATGAGTTGGTCGCTTAAGGCTTAATGCTGTCTGAACTCTGGACACGAAGGTGCGGGCGTACCAGTGCGAGATCTTCCCAAACCGCAAAGCGAGTTGAAAGCTAGGGCATCACCATCATCTCGGCGAACGATCAGGAGAAGGTAAACAACTGACACCAATACAAGACCAAGGTCGAGTCGTCCTATTGGGCGTCACCTGTTCTGTTCGTGAAGATGCTGCTGATGCGGCCGATGCGGAATGGGTCCGGCGTCTCCTCGTTGGAGCCCTTCACGTAGCTGGTGGCCTTGCGGTAGTATTCCGGGTAGAGTTCCTCGTCCACCTGACGGGAACAACCGAACAGCTAGTTATGGACAGCTATTGACGAAGACCTATCACTGGCGAGCATGCAACAAATGTCCAGGGCTGTCAACTGGTTGCGACAATGACGCCTGCTTTCCTCGCACTGCCAATCCGCCTCGCTCTGAGAACAATTGGCGACAGAGCCTGCGTTTGGAGCCGGCCGCATCCGCGCCTCTCTCCAGCACGCGTGGCGGATCTCGCCACCACGATATCTGCGAAAAGTCGCACGTCTTGACCGTCTTGACCCAGGCCTGCCGCCGGCGCAGAGAGAACGCGGCGGGGTCCAGGAACACACACTTGCCCACCGAGTATGTCTCGCCGCCGCAGCGCACCTGGCCGAAGCGCGTCTGCCGAGAGCGAGTGGTCATCGGCCGGGGACGCGAGACAGGGCGGGGAGAGAGCGACGCTGGAGACAGGACGTCTCACGCCAGGGACTAGATGCTGATGAGTGATTTGACTGGATGATATTCATGTAAGACTTCGCAAATAGCAAATAATGTTGCTACTCATGAGTGACATGGTCGCCGCAACAATGCAGAACGGGCGAAATGCTCATCTAAATAATGAAGAGAATAACCATGATGAGAAGTTGGGCTTTGGGTGTGAGAATAAGTAGACAAATACAGTGCGCTGACGGAAGATACACAACTTCTGTGAGAGCATGAGCACGTGCACGATGAAGACCAAGAGAAAGACCAAGAGGCGGCGAGGCGGAGAGGCGGAGAGGCGAGGAGGCGGAGAGGCGAGGAAGCGAGGAGGCGAGGAGGCGGTAAGACACACAGACAGACGAACAGACAGGATAGAGACAGAACAAAAAGAAATAGAGAAAAGAGAGAGAGAGAGAGAGAAGAGAGAGAGAGAGAGGAGAGAGAGAGAGAGAGAGAGAGAGAGAGAGAGAGAGAGAGGAGAGAGAGAGAGAGAGAGGAGAGATCGAGAGAGAGAGAGAGAGGAGAGAGAGAGAGAGAGAGCAGAGAGAGAGAGAGAGAGAGAGAGAGAGAGGAGAGAGAGAGAGAAGAGGTAGAGAGAGAGAGAGAGAGAGAGAGAGAGAGAGAGAAGGAGAGAAGAGAGAGAGAGAGGAGAAGAGAGAGACGAGAGAGAGAGAGAAGAGAGATAGAGAGAGAAGAGGAAGAGAGAGAGAGAGAGAGAGAGAGAGAGAGAGAGAAGAGAGAGAGAGATAGAGAGAGAGAGAGAGAGAGAGAGAGAGGAAGAGAGAGAGAAAGAGAGAGAGAGAGAGAGAGAGAGAGAGAGAGAGAGAGAGAGATAGAGAGAGAGAGAGAGAGAGAGAGAGAGAGAGATAGAGAGAGGAGAAGAGAGAGAGAGAGAGAGAGAGAGAGAGAGAGAGAGAGAGAGAGAAGAGAGAGAGAGAGAGAGAGAAGAGAGAGAGATAGAGAGAGAGAGAGAGAGAGAGGGAGAGAGAGAGAGAAGAGAAGAAGAGAAGAGAGGAGAGAGGAGAGAGAGAGAGAGAGAGAGAGAGAGAGAGAGAGAGAGGAGAGAGAGAGAGAGGAGAGAGAGAGAGAGGGAGAGAGAGAGGGAGAGAGAGAGAGAGAGAGAGAGACCTACCTCGTTCCTCCCTGGCTCGTCATCCAGTCGGCTCTCCACGGCGGGCACCTTGCTTAGCTCCTCCAGACGGAGCTGCTCACAGCACGGGCAGAAGTTGAGCCGGCCGTCGATGGCCACCGGCTCCGCCGCCACGTCCTCAAACCGGCCGTGCTCCGGCCGGTACCTGACCAGGGGTCAACGGACTGATGACGGCCAGCACCGGTCACAGCCCAATGGCCAGGCCATGAGCTAGCATGCCAGGACAGTGTTTCACAGCCCGAGAGCGCGGAACGCCTTGAAGTGTTCCAGTCAGCAGCCACGGACTCGCTGGCTGGCACCCTCCTTGTTAGATGTCAGGGCGGGGTGAAATAGATCTAGGCATCAGAAACGCTAATGACTGTAGACAATTTAGCAAGGTGAGATGCCAGGTTTAGCTTTGATGGGATAAATCCAAGGCAAACTCGCATAAAAAGACAGAGCAATACAACTTACGCAAAACACGGGTACAAATGCAGATCAATAGTACTGTGACATCCCAAAGTCGTTAAGTCAACTTACTTTTTCTGGAACCAGAACGTATCCGACTCGTTCTCTGGTACGTGGAACGACTCGCGCTGCTGGAACCAGCAGCGCGCGTCGCTCCGATCCAGGACTCGCGCCTGCCGGACCGGGGTCAGCTGTCACGCGTAAGGAGGTGTAGCACACGGCAGACACACACGGCTGTCACGCGCAGGCAGGTGTAGCACACGACAGACACACACGGCTGTCACGCGCAGACAGGTGTAGCACACGGCAGACACACACGGCTGTCACGCGCAGGCAGGTGTAGCACACGACAGACACACACGGTTGTCACGCGCATGCGGCCAGAACGGAGCACAGCTGCGGAGCGGAACAGGGCAGGGGGCACGCCGAGTTGCCAATGACGGAGGTGTCGACACTGCATGTGCTGACCTTGCGTGTGATAGACTCGGCTGCGTGTGCTGACCTTGCGTGTGATGGACTCGGCTGCGTGTGCTGACCTTGCGTGTGAAGGACTCGGCTACGTGTGCTGACCATGCGTGTGATAGAATTGACGGCGTGTGCTGACCTTGCGTGTGATGGACTCTGCTGCGTGTGCTGACCTTGTGTGATGGACTCGACCGCGTGTGCCAACATTGCGCGTGACGGACTCGGCTGCGTGTGCTGACCTTGCGTGTGATGGACTCGGCTGCGTGTGCTGACCTTGCGTGTGACGGACTCGGCTGCGTGTGCTGACCTTGCGTGTGACGGACTCGGCTACGTGTGCTGACCTTGCGTGTGACAGACTCGTCTGCGTGTGCTGACCTGGCGTGTGACGGACCCCGCTGCGTGTGCTGACCTTGCGTGTGACGGACTCGGCTCCGTGTGCTGACACTGCGTGTGATGGACTCGACTGCGTGTGCTGACCTTGCGTGTGATGGACTCGACGGGCATGTCCTCACACTCGTCCGTGACGAACAGTTCGGCAGGGTCGGCCGTCTCTCCAAGCAGGGTCTCCTGGCCACGGCTGCAGCGGAACGGTACACACTGGTCAGGTCAACATGCCAAGGAGCACGGCTATGGATCCACAACAGACCTGCTTAGTCCAGTGGACAGCAGCAGAACAGTCGATATATCGCACCGATAAAAATGATATCATTCTCATTTTACGAAAGTTCCGTAAAGGCGAGGTGTGTGTAGTGGGAACACGTATTTCATCATGTGTCCAATGGGGCAGAAAAACGTAAAAAATAAACGGAAAACGACAACACGCAAAAATAAACTTCGAATCACTGCACGTATCCAGCAGCCGAATTTACACCACTGCGAAATACCGTAACAAGACAAGTGAAATTTTGCGGGAAACGCCCTAGATTATAAATGCTAACATCTAGGGAGACACTGGCGGCTGTACCCCAGGAACGAACGACATGCTTCAGAGCAGGGACGGTGTTCACGTGTCCGCTGCGGGCGGCACTGACCAGAACCAGGCGGCGTGGTAGCAGCGCTGTCCGGAGGCCGTCTCCCACATGTACACTAGTCGGGCCACGTACGGCAGCTGGCCGGCCGCCTCGGCCTCCACCACCACACAGTCACCCGCCGACAGACGCTCGCCGTTGACATCCACCGAGCTGGGGGCGGCGCCGGCCGGTCAGCACACGCCAGCTGGCCGGGCGGTGCACGCCAGCTGGCCGGGCGGTACACGCCAGCTTGCCAGGCCGGTATACGCCAACTGGCCGGGCGGTACACGCCAGCTGGCTGGGCGGTACACGCCAGCTGGCGAGGGCGGTACATGCCAGATGACCAGAGCGGTACACGCCAGATGACCGGAGCGGTACACGCCAGCTGGCGAGGGCGGTACATGCCAGATGACCAGAGCGGTACACGCCAGCTGGCCAGAGCGGTACGCGCCAGCTGGCCGGGGCGGTACACGCCAGCTGACCAGGGCGGTACACGCCAGCTGATCAGAGCGGTACACGCCAGCTGGCCAGGGCGGTACACGCCAGCTGGCCAGGGCGGTACACGCCAGCTGACCAGAGCGGTACACGCCAGCTGGCCAGAGCGGTATATGCCAGCTGACCAGAGCGGTACACGCCAGCTGACCAGGGCGGTACACGCCGGCTAGCCAGGGCAGTACACGCCAGCTGACCAGAGCGGTATACGTCAGCAGGCCAGGGCGGTACACGCAGGGCACGCACAATTCACCGCCCACAGCCAAAACCAGCCGCCTGCCGTATGAAGATGCCAGCCCCGAAGAACAGTGGTAAAGTTAAGCACACAAGCGCGCACACGTTTGACAAATGGCTCCTGTCGCGTCACCCACGTGAACTACCTCAAAACTACACCACTTTGTTGGCAAGCAGCTGCTTCGCTGCCACCCACGGCTCTACCGGCGGCCGTGCCGCACAGCCGCCGCTTGCTCTTACCTGTAGTAAGTCCTGGCGGCGTGGGTACCGCGCGGCTCGCCGGCCCAGCTCGTACTGAGGGAGTGGCGCCGCACGCGGTGTGTTCGCTCCGCCGCCGCCAGCGCCGCCGTCCTCGTCGAGTCGTCCTCCTCGTCCTCACCGCCGTCAGAGTCCTCCGCCTCCTCAATCGCCATGTTCGGACACCTGGCGATGGCAGTTGGAACACAAGTCACGGCCATGGCCCTCGTCTTCGCTCGTGATGGCCTCTCTGTGCGCACGTCGGCACCAGTACTGACGTCACACGCGTGATGCTGAACCCCGTCCGGCACTTGCGGGTTTTCGTTGAATGCTATTTCTCCGACAAGACGCTAGCAGCAACAACTACCAGAACAAAAACGAAAAATCAGGACAACATCGCGCCACAGTTACAAGCCTGATGTAATACAGCTGGTGATTCAGGTATCAATTTTCTCCACTCGTTTAGCCATCGCAGTCCTCCGTCATTTCAAGAGGTGTTACCTGCAGTTGGTGCAGCACTCTTGACCTGCGCCTGGTGCAGCTCTGTGGTGGTGCATTGCACGGGCACTGACGAAAGCGGACGGCGGCAACGCTCATCGTACGGTTGGTGCAGCACCGCTTACCGTGCCGTTGGTGCAGCACTGCTTACCGTGCCGTTGGTGCAGCACTGCTTACCGTGCCGTTGGTGCAGCACTGCTTACCGTGCCGTTGGCGCAGCACTGCTTACTGTGCCGTTGGTGCAGCACTGCTTACGGTGCCGGTGGTGCAGCACTACTTACGGTGCCGTTGGCGCAGCACTGCTTACCTGTCGTTGGTGCAGCACTGCTTACCGTGCCGTTGGTGCAGCACTGCTTACCGTGCCGTTGGTGCAGCACTGCTTACTGTGCCGTTGGTGCAGCACTGCTTACCGTGCCGTTTGTGCAGCACTGCTTACCTGTCGTTGGTGCAACACTGCTTACCGTGCCGTTGGTGCAACAGTTCTAGCCTGCCGTTAGTGCAGCACTGCCTACCTGCGGTTGGTATATCCCTACTTACCTGCGGTTGATGCAGCACTGCTTGCTCCGGCCGCTGCCGCCGAACTTCACCATGTCGCGGCAGTGTTTGCAGTCGCCGCAGTCGGGCTGCTGGCAGGCCTCACACACCCCACAGCGCGTGCGGCGCGGCCCCTGCTTCAGCTGGCAGCGGGAGGAGGACGCTCAGCGGAGGACGCGGCGCTCGCACGAGACGGGGCACGCGGCAGACGACATGAACGTGACGTGAAAAGGGGAGGGGGACGCTGACAGCTCCCACAGACGCGCAAAGCACCAGCAATATCACAAGAAGCTCATTTTCTGGGCTGCTACACGACAGCACGGTAGAAAATTGGTTCACGCATCACCTGACGTACAGAGATGCATGGACGTAGAAGGCCGGTGATCAGAATAAAACGGACGGTTCCACAGAAGACTCTCCTGATGGCTTTATCCCCGACATGGCGGCTGACCTTTCAACAGCGAGCTACCCTGTGTCTACGAACCAGCTAAGCTCGTCGGCCATTCATTCCGCAATGCGCCGACCCAGGGCCATCCACTTGCCTTATCGTCATTTTGGATCTGTCCCTTGAAGAAGTTCTCGAACAGTTCAGAGACCAGTGGCGTCGTCGTGGCTTTGGTGAGAGGCGCGGCCGCCACCTTTTTCACTCGCGTCACTTTACGGATCGCTCGGCTGCAATATTAAATGGAACCCCGTTGCATTTGGGAACCCTTCAGCCCAGCTGGACAAGAATGACGTAGCTATTTTAAACAGCAGCATCAGTTTGAAAACCCGCTCAAACAACACAGCACCTAGGCCCACTCGTCACATCAAATCAACGATTGGTTCACCAGTCTACATCATCCACGGTGCCATGCCAAGTTTATGACAGTCAGAGTAATGAACCGCTGTACCGCCGTGAACACTGGAGCGACCCAGTTGTAGCCGTTGCTCATTAGAGCGAATCACCTCACTTCGTGATGCCTATGTACATATATGGTGCGAATGCCTACCACCACCCTTCCCACCCTCCCCCCCCCCCCCCCCCCCTCCCAACCATGTGCACCGTATGAGTGTCGTTTTTTTCGGCAGCATCTAGTGGAACACCGTTTGTGACGCCACCACGGCCGTCACCTACCGTTTTCCGAGCGTGACGCCGGCCAGCCGGATGAGGGCGCGTACACAGGCGGTGGTGAGCAGCTGCGCCTCCTCGTCACCGCCAGCCAGGTCGAAGCTCTGCACCTGGTCCACCACGAACTGGGCGTGGCGCAGCAAGCAGTCCTCCGTGAAGGCGTCCGTACCCAGGCCAGACGGCGGCACTGTAATCTGTGGAACGGAGCACAGAGAGCCATGGGTGAGGAGGGGATATGGTGACGTCAGGATTCGGGTCCTGCGGTCACGGTATGACCCGGGACCTCAGTGCAATTGTTGGGGACGATCGGGTCGTCAGACAAGGCGACCAATCATGCTTCAGGTCACCAAACAGCCAACGGTAACGCGGCAGAAGCAGTCGCCGTAAAAGTCAGGCACTTGCTCGTCGCGAGCAAAGGAAGGAGGACGGGTCGGCGGTACGTACCAGCTAGGTGACGCACCGTATTTAATACACTGCCGCCAACAGTCTGACCTGATGCACCCCACTTTGACGCGTATCCGAGCGGCCAGTTAAATATGAAGCGCTCGGGTGCCTTTTGCCCCACAGCTATAACCAATGAAATAGACTAAACCAGAAGCAGCTCGTGTAAGAAGACAAAAAGAGGATTCTTGTAGGTTACTGGTAGACAAATTGTGAACGATGGCCCGCCCTGACCTGACCCTTGTGGGGGAAAATAAATGGTCAAAATGGATTCGGTAGTCTTAAAAATTACTTCTGTGCCCTCAACATCCATTTTGACGTTGACGCATGTTTTTACTGCATCTATCAAAACGACCGTTTTTAACCTTTTATTACCTTTGGTGACCTCTCATTTGACCAAGACAAACAATTAAATGTATTCTCCGTAATTTGACGAGGACTTCACAACGGCATCTTTGTTCTTCCTCGTACGATGTCTGAAAGTTCGAGATCCCAGGGAGGGTGCCAACTCCCCCCCCCCCCCCCCCCGGCGGACGCGGTTGTCTCAGACCCCCAGCCGGGCGCAGCTTAAGGCGTATATCTATTTCTATGAAGATCGGCTGTTCAGTTGCCCACGGTTACGCATGCTTGGCAAAGCTTCACGTTGCTACACCGCAACGCTTGAAACTTGTTCAAGTTGTTTGGATTAGAGCCCTTTCGATCAGAAATGATCATTTCAGGGCTATGGAACCAGCAAAGCCACCGCTGTCCGTCGTCGTCCTCGTCCCGTAAGGTCGCCCGGCAAACGGTGCGAGCTTCGCTGGCTTGGCGGTAGATGTCGCGGTGAGCGGACGCGCCACCGTCGAGCCGCCGGCATGCGGCGGTGACGTCAGTCCGTCACGTGGCGTCGCTCGATACACGCCTGTCGCTGCGGCGAGCAGCCGGCCGCCGCCGACGGAGCGCCAAGGACAACCGGCGCCGCTTGCCGCCCGAGATAGGCTGGCGCTGCCTGCCGTCCGAGATAGGCCGGCGCTGCCTGCCGTCCGAGATAGGTCGGCGCTGCCTGCCGTCTGCGATAGCCTAGCGCTGCCTGCCGTCCGCGATAGCCTAGCGCTGCCTGCCGTCCGAGATAGGCCGGCGCTGCCTGCCGTCCGCGATAGCCTAGCGCTGCCTGCCGTCCGAGATAGGCTGGCGCTGCCTGCCGTCCGAGATAGGCTGGCGCTGCCTGCCGCCCGAGATAGGCAGGCGCTGCCTGCCGTCCGCGATAGCCTAGCGCTGCCTGCCGTCCGAGATAGGCTGGCGCTGCCTGCCGTCCGAGGTAGGCCGGCGCTGCCTGCCACCCGCGATAGGCCTGCACCGTTCGCACCCCGCGATAGGTCGGCGCTGCCTACCGCCCGAGATGGCCGGCCCCTCTCGCCACCCGGGATAGGCTGGTGGTGCCTGCAGCATTGCTAGCACACGGGAACATCAGGGAGGGCCGCGACTTAAGGCGTACACCGCTGCGAAAGGAAGCAGGGCGGCGCAGGTCAACACGCGGCCAATGCTGCATCGCTGGCGCAAGCCTGGCAAGAGCTGCTGATGGGATGGCACGGGGAGAGGCACACGGAAGCGTGCGGAGGAGCTGGGAGGCGCCACCGTCGCGCCCGCGTGGAGGCGCTGGCGGTGGAAGTCTATCGGCCCGTACAACTCTGAGAACTACATGCGGAACGAGGCAAGCCTGAGCCTCCCTTTTATTCCATACGCATCGCACCGGATGCACCATGGAGCATGGATGTGAATGGATCGGCTACGCTTGTGAATTCGCGCTGGGGCGGCGCCCACGTGCCATCAGCCAACGACCCAGGTCGCTGTGGTTGAGGCGGCCGACCTTCCTGCGCTGCCCCACGGCCACACGGGCAGGTTTGTAGTGAGACGGGGCTCCGCTCCCCTCCGTGTAGCACCCGCAACGGAGCAGCGCGCACGCCAGCGAGCAGGCCGGCATCGCCAGGCGAGCCTCTGCAGTCGCCGGAATCGACGAGAGCGAACTCAGGCGCCACGGCAAACACTCGGACGCCATGTTGCGTCTGCCAGCACGGGTAGTCGCCTCGTCGGCATGTTTTCGTGGTTGCATGTGGGTCTCCGCCGCGCCTGCGCTCCTTCCCCAGCGGTCCGCGCCGCTCGCCGTGTCGTCCCCGTCCGCTCAGAGAGAGCCGCCGCTGTGGCCAGCGGCGCCGGTTGTCCTTGGCGCCACGTCGGCGCGGCTGTCGGCGGCGGCCGGCTGCTCGCCGCAGAGACAGGTGTGTATCGAGCGGCGCCGCGTGCCCGACTGACGTCACCGCCGCCAGCGGCAGTGGCGCAGCCGCTCACCGCGACATCTACCGCCGAGTTGGCGAAGCTCGCACCGCTCGCCGGACGACCTTACGGGACGAGGACGACGGCGGACAGCGGTGGCTTTGCTCGTCGATACCGAGGAGCTCGTACCAAGCAGATCAAAAGCCGTTCTTCAGGTGATAGCCGAGAAGGGGAGGTGTCGGGGGAGGTGCAGCCCGTCCCGGAGAGCCGTCAGAGAGCATGCGTAGGCGGGGAGGGCGTCGGTGGTCGGCCGCGCCTGTCCACCGCCGTACGGTCGGTGTGCGAGGCGCCTGTCCCAGGGCTCCGGACACGGCGCGGCCGTCGACCACCCCAGACCCGATAATTTTGATTATATGCCCACATGCTTCAATATATTTTTATGGACCTGTGTCGAAACGGAGAGAAAATCTGCGTTACGACAGCCTGGCTCTCCGCCCACTTTGATGACCGAATGCATTTGCTCCCACATCATTTTCAAATTTTCAGATCTCGCATGTTGGGTGTGTCTGAATGAACTTAAATGTATCAAAAATTTTTGATTTGTTATCGCTTCTCGGCCTTTTGGCTAAGATCAAAGTGTAGTATCTGTTCTTATCAGCTTAATTTTTTGATCTTAGCCAAAGGTTTTTCAGGTTTAAATTCTGTAAATTCTCCATTCGCGCGGCCAACAACTCCCGGTGGTGACGCCTGGCGGCCAGCAGCTGAACCACTCAAGGCCAGCGACGGGCGGCGGCTACGAGCAAGTCATCGGACGGGTCGCCGGTGAGCACGGGACGCGAGGTAAGTGCACGCGCCGACTTCCGGCCTTCCGCCCTTCCCCTGTTTAGGTCGGGAGCCTCGTGTTCCTGCCCTAAATAGGAGTTGGTGGCTGCCGTGGTTTTGGCGCGGGAACTCCCCGCGCTTTCCGTGCCTCGCCGGTGGCCCGCTAGGCGGCGCCTCACCCCGTCCGGGAGATGGCGCTGCCCGTCTCAAGCCAGCTCAGCCGCCCGGCGTCTCCCGCCCCGGGGCGGCAGCCGGAACTGGACGGCAGGGTCCTCTCCCTCCCGTACCCGCTTCCGGCTGTCATCGCCTGCCCCGTGGAGGGATGCCGGGCGTCGTACGCCGCCGCCTCCATGGCGACCCAGCGCGCCAGCCTTCGCCGACACCTGCGCGCGGGCCACGGCATCTCCGTTACCAACACGCCGTGGGTCTGCGCCGGGTGCCGGCAACAGCTCACCGCGCGGCCTTCCCGGCATCGCTGCACGGTGCCGGTCCGGGCCCGGCGGGCGGCCGGCGGCGAACTGCCGCACGGCTGTCCGTGGTGCCGGGCTACCTTCACGACGCGGCGCGGGCTGCTCAACCACCGAGCCCGCTGCCCGCGTCGGCCCGACACCGAGCCGGCCCGGGCCGTCGACCTCGGGCTACCGCCAGCCGGGACCCCACCGGGAGCGTTGCCGCAGCGGCCACCTGCCGCCGCCGGCTCGCCCCCGGACTCACCGCGGTCCTGGCTCGGTGAGCGGCTCGAGCGAGTCGCCGGCCTCCTCACCGGCCGGCGGCCGCCGTCAGCGACGCCGGAGCCGCCACCAGCGGGGACACCACGCCGCCCATCACCGCTGGCCCGGCTGGGCAACGCCGTTCAACGAGCCGGCCTCCACCTGGCAGGCCGCCCGCCGCGGAGGACCTCACCGACGACGCCAGACGCCACATCACCTGCCCCGTCGCCAGTGAGTGCCCCAGTGCCCCCTGCGCGCGCTGGGGCGGCAGGCCCGAGCCGGCCGTCCCCTCCCACGCCGCCGCACATGTCGCCGCCGCGCTACGGTCCGTCCCCCGAGGTGGCGTCCCCCGTGCGGGGAGACTGCTCACCGGTCGAGCAGCAGCGTGCATCGGGCCCGCCGGCGTCCCCGGCGCCGAGCCCGGTGTCGCTGTCGCTCCCGCTGGCGTCTCCCGGCGGCCCGCCACCTTGGGCGACGCCACCACCGGCGGCGCCGTCCCCCTCGACAGCGCTTTCACGGTGGCCGCCCGTGCCGCCACCCGCGCCGCTGCCGCCCGTGCGCGCATGTGTATGCGCGGGGTCGCCCGTTCCCGTCCCCGCGCCGGCCCAGCGAGGGCACCCACCGCAGCGGGGCCCAGTGCGGTCGGGGCCAAGTGTCGCAAGTGACGGTACGGTTCGCGACGATGGAGTGTGCGGCGCCCCGCAAGCGGCGGCTGGCGCTGGAAGCGGAGGAGAGGCCTCGCCGGGGTGCGCCCACCGTGGTCCCCGCGTGCCCCCCGGCTTCCCCCCGCCGCCGGCACCACAACTGACGTCACCCCGCCGCTCGCCTGTCGTCGCCCCCAGTGCCCCCCCACCCCCAGTGTCACCCACGCCGCCCTGTGTGCCCCCTGTGCCCCCCGGCTTCCCCCCGCCCCCCTCCTTGCCGCCGACGCCTTCCGCGTCGCGGATAGGCCTGCCGTTGCCCCTCAGCTC